TGTCTCTCTCCCTCCCTTCTACTTTCTAAAAATCAATGGAAAAATATCCTCAGATGAGGATTAACAATTTTTTTTTTAATTTTAGCTTTATGATAAATAAACCCTCCTTCATGATATGCCAATTCTTAGACATGTTTCTCTCAAATATATTTTTAGTAATGTCCTTGAAAATAGGAAATGCCTAGTTGAACTTATCTGTTTATATTATACAACTATTGGCTTGTTAGCTACCTTTAATAGAGAGACAGTCTTCACATAGTTTTGTATTCTGAGTCAATGACCAAAAAGGTGTTCAACAAGTACTTGCTGAAAAAGAAAACATTCAGAAAAAAAAATTTCACTAGGTAATTCTCCTCAAAGACCATAATTAAAGCATAGAATTCATTTCCATTTCCCTTTAAGTAATATTTCTTCCCTGAAACCAATAGCACCTGAAATTCCACTTCTTATAGACTGTATGTCTTGGTAGAAAGAGCTGTCAGACCTATATTTGAATACACTTTCTGCCATTTATAGCTTATGATGATGCGGAGCAGGTTTCTTAACTTCTCTAAGACTTGGTGTCCTCATCTAAAAAATGGGTATAACACCACCTACTTATAACCTACTAAGAATATTTTAAGGATTAGAAATGCACACACACAGTCTTCACTTTACAAGGTTCTAAAATGCACATATTTCAGTTACCACAGTATATTAACAGTGAGTAATTACAGTACTACAAATGTTGTGACCAGCTCTTCAGTCCTCAAATCACTATGTAAATAATTGAAGCACATCACCATCAGCGATTAACCAAGTCACTTCTTTTGAATTCTGTTGGTGAATTTGACAAGATAAACTATAAAGGAACAACAAATAGGCTATTGGAGGACTTCTGATGAGCAACAATAAAAGCCAGCACACATTGGAATATTTTCAAAGTTCTGAGAGAAAATACTATGACAATTCACCAAGGCAAAGAAAAACATACTCATTCCATATCACGAGTTATAAGACAAGAGAGCATGCACTGTTCAAATTCCTCTTGATAAGTTCTTTTACAAAAAAAACCCCTCATTTTAATTCTCATTATTTTAAACTTAGTATACTAAATAAATATTTATTTTTTATTTCTCTATATATTTATAATCAATAAAAAAGGTTTACAATATTTGACATCTTTATTTATTTTATTGAAAGTATTACAGATGTCTTCCATTTTCACCCTTTTGCTCCCCCACACCTGGCTCCCACCTTACCCCCCTGTCCTTCCCCTGTCTATTGTCTGTGTCCATGGACTATGCATATAAGTTCTTTGATTAATCTCTTCTCACCCTCTCTTCCTACCTCCTTCTGAGATCTGTTACGACAATCTGTTCCATGCTTCCATATCTATAGTCCTATTTTGTTTGTCAGTTTATTTTGTTGTTTAACAACAGTTTTAAAGGTCACAGAACAATCATAAATTTTCCCATTAGATTTGCCAGTTTTAACTTGCGTGGTCATTTATGTAGCCCCGCACTACATTGCAAAGTGAAGACTGCCTATACCTATAACTTTTGGCACAGCAAGGTGCTTATTATTTCACAACTAAAGAGAAACCCTCTGCCTTTCCCCTGGTCCTTATAATCTGCTCAAACAGAAAACAAATTTGAATTGAACTTGGCTGATGTTAAGAAGATAGCTTTTGAGAACCGTTGCCATATCTGAACATGCAATTCCCCCGACTCATCTTTGTGTTATCCAAAATACACACACCCCAATCCTGAAAGATAGGCTTCTTAAACACTTACTCAGTCTGCCCTCTGTGTTAGTATACTATTTTACGCTTGTCCTCATCCTTTATATGTGGGGACAAAACAATGAATGTGACAGAAGTAATATGGTATAGAAGCTCTAGAGTCAGATCTCAACTTGAATACTGCCTCTACACCACTTTTGCAACCTTAGATAAATTACTTCTTAGAGTTTCAATTTCTTAATCTGTGAAATTAGGATAATAATACCTTCTTTTTGGAATTGCGGCAAAGTTCAAAAGAGGTAACATATATGAAGTGCTTAGAAAAGTGTGGTATATAGGAGACACTTAGATAGAATTATTATCACCATTATTATCATATCTAATAAAAGAATAATATGCAAATTGACCATTTCTAACACACAAGATGACTGCCCCCATGTGGTCAAAGACCCTGCCCCCATGTGGACACAAGATGACCATCAGAAGATGGCCAGCAGGGGAGGGCAGCTGGGAGGGACCAGGCCTGCAAGAGAGGGCAGTTGGGGGCGATCAAGCCTGCGGGGGAGGGCAGTTAGGGGTGACCAAGCTGGCAAAGAAGGGAAGTTGGGGATGACTGGGCCTGTAGGGAAGGGCAACTGGGGGGGGACCCAAGCCAGCAGGGGAGAGCAGTTAGGGGGGACAAGGCCTGCAGGGGAGGGCAGTTAGGGGTGACTAAGCCTGCAGAGGAGGGTAGTTAGGGGTAAACAGGCTGGCAGGGGAGCAGTTAAGCATCAATCAGGCTGGCAGGGGAGTGGTTAGGGATGATTAGGCTGGCAGGAAGAAGCTATTAGGGGCAAACAGGAAGGCAGGAAGGCGAGCAGTTGGGAACCAGCAGTTCTGGATTGTCCAACTTCCCGTTTGATCGGGCCTAAACTGGCAGTTGAACATCCCTTGAGGGGTCCCAGATTGGAGAGGGTGCAGGCTGGGCTGAAGGACACCTGCGCCTCCCCTCCCTGCACAAATTTCGTGCACCTGGCCTCTAGTCCTTAATATTTCTATCATTAATGTAAATATTAAAATAAAGATAAAGTTGTATTTCTTTTAAAAATATCATTACTAATCAGTATATTTTTCAAATATCAAATTCTCTTACTCCAACACATGATACATACCCGCCACTTAACCTCAACTTCCTCAAGATCATTTTTTCTCCCAAGGCACATGTGCAAAGGGTGACCAACATCATTCTCTTCTTGCAAACCTTAATTCCTATGTCAAAACCCTCTCTGCAATCTGCTCAGAGTTTTCTCTTCTGAGGAAACCAAGAACTAAGGCCATTTCCCATTTCCCAGAGCTATCTGCCAGAACTGTAGTATCTTGCTCTCTCATAGCTCACATGACTTAACTGTCAGTTTTCTCTTTTGATTCCAACCCTTGGTTCTAAACTGAGAGTCATTATTACCTATATTTGCCCATAAAGATGCAAAGAACCTAAAGGCCAACTAAAACCAACTCCTTTTCTCAACTAAACAATTTCACCTAAAACATTCACATGAGTTAGTGGAGGGAGCAATGTCTGTTTTAAACACTTTCAGTGACAGAAAGCCTTCTACCTTACAAGGCAACCCATTCCAAGATCCTATCTTTAGATAAACAGTTGCCTTAGGTTGAAGCAAAATCTCTCCCCTTACAGTAGTTCCCACTCACAGGTGCCAATTCCACATTACAAGGAGATACAGAAAGCTTAATGCGCTCTATGACAGCTCATCCAACATTTGAAGACCCTTGAGTTTCTCTTCCATTTCCAGTTCAGGAAGCACGGTTTTATGTCCCTTCCCTCGTGGGCCTCCTCTGGACCAGGTATGGGCTTGCCAACATGATCTAACAACAAATCGGTAGAGCCCTTCCCTTGCCAACATTTAAATTGCTAAGCACTTACACTGCAAAGAATTCCTTTGCCCATATTCTTTCGCTATGAAGTAAAAAAATATTAATTTAAACCAGCAGTTCAGGAAAGTTCTCAGCCTAAATCGTGGTATAACGGGAATGGCACTAAGTCCTGGAAACAGCAGCAAGAGTTCTCTTTTCCTCACTTTCTTCCTTTTGTTCTTTCTTTCTTCCTCTCTCTTTCTTTCTCTCTCTCTCTCTCTTTTTTTTAAACTTAGCCAATGACTGGGAACAGAATTAAGTAGAACGAGCTGGCATGAAACCCTTGCCTCTCTCTTCTACAAGCCAAACACACATGCCTGGGAGAAAGAAGCACCCAACAATGGGGAAGGTTAGCTAAACAGACATTGCTTGGTGTCCTGAGAGAAAGGGAATCGAATGAAAAGAAGGAAGTAATAGCCAAAATACATTCTCTGTACCTAGCCAGAAGCAGGTGACTTGAAGAAGTATCAAACGGAGTGCTCTCAAAACATGGCCAAAGTATAAACAACAGAAAAATTAGTGGCAGATTATTCCGGTGGTGCTCTCCTAGCCTGGCAGGGCACACCACACACACACACACCACACACACACACACACACACACACACACACACACACACACACAGAAAAGCCCGAGGGGCCCGTGGTGCCCGCCTGTCGGGGGCAGCAGCCCAAGGACTCTGCTGCCCCCGCGTCCTGGGAAAGTGCGATCGGGGGAGACAGTGTCCCCGGGTGACCTCTGACCCCTAGGCTGTGGGACGGGAGGCGGGGTGGCAGCGGCGTGGTCCCCTGTGCTCCCGGGAGCCTGGCACCGGCAGGAAGGTACAGCCTAGCTCTGCCTTCTGCTTCTGGGGCGAGGAGACAGTCGGACAGTCGTCCTCCGGGGGCAGAGGAGCTCTGGCGCCTGAAGATATCCTAGGTGGCAGGGCACGGGGGCGGGGGGCGGGGGGCGGAGACCTGGCCCTGGAAAACCGTTTGCTGGAGGGGATCGAAGAGGTCTAATATTAACAGAGAGAGGAGAGCAAAGCCTTTGGGGTTCTCGCGTATGGGGGAGGGGAGGGCAAAGGAGGATCTGTTCCCCTCTCCCCGGCCCCGACGGCGGCGGCGGCGGCCACCGTGGGAGCAGGTGTCGCCCCCACCCCCTCGCCCGCCCGGACCCCCGCACTCCTCGGCGACACACTGGCTCCCAGTCCTCCCTCTTCATCCGCAGCTTTCTCCGTTCCTGCCCCGGCCCGGGCTCCCACTTCAGCCCCCGGGGTCGGGCCTGCTGCCGCCCCGGCGGCCAGGTCCGCCCTCAGCCTTCCTCAAACGGCGTCTCCCCCTCAGCCCCGCGTCCGCTCCCCGCCCGCCTCACGCGGGGCCGCACTCACAGAACTCCGCCATGTACCAGGTCACCGCGTAGTTCTCCTCGCACCAGTCCAGCGTGGAGGTCGTGAGGCCCCAGTAGCCCTGACGGTCCACGGCCGGAGCCATCACGCGCGCCGCCGCCGCCGCCCCGGCGCTCCGCTCGCTGCCCTCCGGCTCCCCGGACTCCCAGGCCCGCTCCCGCCCCGCTCGCGCGCTCCCCGAGCCCCGCCCTCCTCTCCGGGGGACGGGGCCCGGCGCCGTCACTCACACGGCCCCGCGGGGAGGCCACGCCCCCTGGCGCGGCGGAGACGCCCCGCCCCGCCCCGCCAGCGCCAGAACCCCAGCCCGAGGGGCGGGGCCAGGCGCCGTCACTCACACTGCCCCGCGGGGAGGCCCCGCCCCGCCCCGCCCCTCCAGCGCCAGAACCCCTGCCCGAGGGCGCCACCGCGGTGAGCTTGCCTTCTCCTTCCCCAGGAAAGGGTGTGATCGCGAAAGGCAGGTGGCGGGGACTGGGACAGCCTGCCCCGCCTCGACACGCCCTTGGCTGTAGGTTCGAGGTTCCTCAAATCCTGGAGGCGGTTTTTTGTCAGGGTATGTCAGAACCTCCATCTGTGTGTGTGTGTGTGTGTGTGTGTGTGCGGTTTGATTTAATTGGGACGGGGGTGGGAAGAAGCCTTCAGCCAAGCCCTGGCTTGATGAAACCTGTGCAGAAACGCACCTCAGTATCTATCTCCCTGTGGCCGCAGGCCTGAAAGGAGCCCAGAAACAGAACACTCCTAGCACCCGAGGTTCCGAGGAAATACACTGACTTTTTTCCGCTGAAGGTATATAAGCAAGTGTCTCTAGGAAAACAAAGGGGAAGGGCAACAACAACCCTGGGCTTTTAAAATAAATAAAATAAAATAAAATAAAATAAAATAAAATAAATAAAATAAAATAAAATAAAATAAAATAAAATAATAATAAAATAAAATAAAATAAATAAAATAATAAAATAAAATAAATAAAATAAAATAAAATAATAAAATAAAATAATAAAATAAAATAAAATAAAATAAAATAATAAAATAAAATAAAATAATAAAATAAAATAATAATAAAATAATAAAATAAAATAAAATAAAATAATAAAATAAAATAAAATAAAATAATAAAATAAATAAAATAAAATAAAATAATAAAATAAAATAAAATGGACTTTGAGATCCTAAAAAGAGGATGCGGCCCAAAGCAGGAAGAATTGACCTGCTTCGGTTTGGAGATTCCAAGCTAGAGCTTTCTATCCTCTAATGATAAGTGTGCCATACGCTGCAGGCAACCGACAGCCTCCCCTACCTCCAGCCGCAAGACTCAACACTTCACTGAGCTGCTGGAGGGATCTCTTAAAAACAAATGCAGGTTCTTACTATGGATGAGGACAATGGGGAGTGGGGAAAGGGCAGAGGGTGGGGTGGGAACCTGGTGGAGGAGAGCAATGGTGGGGGTGGGGGGAGAAACATTTGTAATAATATGAACAATAAAAATTTATTTAAAATAAAACAAACAAACAAACAAACAAAAAATGCAACTGCCTCTGCCCCTTGGGTTAAGCTACACCAACTGGTCCCTAGCTTGGAAGGTGCTAGGTCAACTCCCATCCTCCTGCCTTTGTTCCTGCGGTTCATTCAGCTGGGACCACTTTCCTCTCTTCTCCATTTGGCTAAATTCCACTGGCCCTTCACAATCCAGCTCCTTGAAGCCCACCCTGACTCTCACCCCCAAGAGCTCCCTTGCCCTGTGTTCACTTCCTCCCATGGTACACCCAGATTAGAGAGTGTGTTTTCTGTTCTTTATGGTCCTAGCACCCAGGACTCTGCCTGGCCAGGCAGTTTGAAATAAAGAGCATAGTTAAGGATTATATAAGTGCTATTTTCCAAGGAAACAAGTCTGATAGATGTAATCAAAGAGAAAACAAGGAGAGGTGAGGAGCCTACATCTTAGTGACCTTAGCAGATGATAGATGCAGAACCTTTATAACTGGGAGCAAAGCCTAGGAATAGAAGTGGTGTGGTGTGGTTTCTTAACAATAGTAGGATATCTGAAATTTTTCTTTTGAGCAGCAGGCATTGAGCTTCTGCTAGGTACCCAGCTCTTGGCTGGTGTTAGGAACACAAGGAGGTAAATAGAAAGGGTGCAAAAGGCCAGTCTCCAGACAGATAAAAGCCACTGAGATGTGTGGAAATGTTTTCTAATCACTTGTATATCATCCTCTAACATTTCTGTTCAGTCATAGCTGGTTTCACACAGTGGAGAGATTGTTGGCCTGAGGGCTGAAGCGTCCTGGGTTTGATTCCAGTGGGTTTGATCTCCAGTGGGGCATGCAGGAGACAGCCGATCAATGATTCTCTCTCATCGTTGATGTTTCCTCTCTGAAATTAAAAAAAATACCTATATATATTTAAAAATAAAATAAAACGTCTGCTTAGTTTATGTTTTTAATATATAATAAGTGTGTATGTTTAACAAGTGAATAAATACCCATATTTATATACTCAAAATGAATATGCAGGAATACATACTCAAAAGTGATTTGCTGATGAGACTGAAATGAAAATACTGTAGCCGAAATCGGTTTGGCTCAGTGGATAGAGCATCGGCCTGCAGACTGAAAGGTCCCAGGTTCGATTCCGGTCACTGGCATGTACCTTGGTTGCAGGCACATCCCCAGTAGGGGGTGTGCAGGAGACAGCTGATCGATAATTGTCTCTCATCGATATTTCTAACTCTCTATCCCTCTCTCTTCCTCTCTGTAAAAAATCAATAAAAATATATTTTTTAAAATAAAATGAAATGAAAATACTGTAGAGACCATAACAATAGAGTGTGGTGATACTAGTACTTTGCTAGGAACAAACCCCAAGTTAGAGTGCTATGGGTGTCCTAACTGCAGAAGAACCTCTAACTCAGCCAAGTGATTCAAAACAGAAAATGAGACTGTAGGGGGCCCTTTGGGAATGCATATGGGTGACTTGTAATTATCATCAGCTGAACTCAAGGCACAGGCAGAGCCACACCTGGGAACATGTTTCCCCAAAATGTGGGAGACTGTTATCAGTACTGATTTCGTATCTTTATCCATGTTCCTTAGAATAAGGAACGAATAGGACCTTGACTTACCCAGGTCTGGATATGCTAAATCCCAGGAATGAGGGAATGAATAGGACCTGGGCACACCCAAAACTTCTCTGACCTTAAACCCCCTTTGGAATAAATAAGTGCGCTGTGTTGTCTGTGGTGGGTGTTGACTGTCTCTCCATCAGAGTGGCAGCCCCCCGCCTGGATGTCAGCTTGAATCTATTTCTGTGTCTTGGCCTCTTTTTTTTCTTCTTTAATTTCTTAATCCCCAGCTCTTCCACTCAGGAACCTGTCTTTTTCCGTGCGAGTCGAGGAAAACAGAGAAACAGCCCCCTACATGAGACCTTGATTAAATCAATACCCTGTACATTGTTGAATAGCAGGGGGGAAATCTGCTTTGACCAGAATGAAATTTAGTAGAGAAAAATTTCCTCTGCCCCAAAGAAAAGATGTGCTGCCTAGTACCACTCAGAAAGCGCAAAGTGAACTTCACAGTTTCTTCAGCAAAGTCTATCTTCCTTTTTCTCTTTTCTAAAAACAAACAAACAAACAAACAAACAAATAAATAAATAAAATTTCCCTCTGAGTATAAAAGCAAAGCTTGGAAACATAGGGACCCAAAAATAGCCAAAACCATATTGAAAAAGAACAAAGTTGAAGAACTCACACTTCCGGATTTTTGCACTTACTACAAACACTACACTAATCAGACAGCGCAGTACTGGCGTGAGAATAAACACATAGGCCAATGGAGTAGAACTGAGATTCCAGAAATATTTACAATCAATTGATTTTCAACTGCGATGCCAAGACCATTCAAGAGGGAAAGAATTGTCTTTTTAACAAATGGTGCTGCTCTGACAACTGAATATCCACATGCGAAAGAATGAAATTAGACTCCTTCCTGCCACAGTAAACAAAATTTAACCCAAAATGGATCATTGATTTACATGTAAGAGCTAAAACCATAAAACTCTTAGAAGTTAACATAAAAGTAAATCTTTGTTTCTATGGAATGCCAAAAGCACTTCTAATAACAACAAATATAGATAAATTGAACTTCATCAAAATTAAAAAAAAAATTTAAGTATAGTTGTATCATCAAGAAAGTGAAAGGACAACCCCAAAATGGGAGAAGACACTTGCAAATCATATATCTGATAAGAAGACTAATATTCCGAATATATAAATAATTCTTACAATTCAATAAAAACACAACACAATTAAAAAGTGGGCAAAACATCTGAATAGACATTTCTCCAAAAATCCCATGAAAGGAGATTCATGTTGTCATTAGAGAAATGCAAATCAAAACCACAATGAGATCTTACTTCTTACATACTAGGATGACTATAATCAAAGAGAAATAACAGCAAGTATTGACAACGATGTGGAGAAATGGGAACCCTGATGCATTGTTGGACTGTGAAATGCTGCAGCCACTTTGGGAAATAGTTTGGCAGTTCCTCAGAATGCTAAGTGAAGTTACCATATGACCTAACAATTCCATTTATAGGTATTTACCAAAAGAATTGAAAACATATGCCCACAAAAAATTGTACAAGGATGCTCACAGCAGCATTATTCATAATTGCAAAAGAGTGGAAACAAACCAAATTCCACCAACTGATGAACTAATTCATACAATGTGGAATAGTCATAATAGAGTATTATTTGGCAATAAAAAAATGAAATACTAATACATGATACAACATGGATGAACCTTGAACCGTTATCCTGCACTAAAGAAGCCAATGACTCTATTTACATAAAACAACCAGAATAGGCAAATTATAGAGATAGAAAGTAAATTAGTGATTAGTTGAGAGAGGAAGTAGGAATGCCTGCTAATAGTGACATGGTTTCTTTTGAGATGGTGAAAGTGCCTGAAATTAGATTGTGGTTCATGGTTGCACAACTCTGAATACACACACACACACACACACACACACACACACACACAAAACAAACAAGCAAACAAACAAAAAACACATTGAATTATGTACTTTAAATTGAACACAAAATGTTCTCACTGATATGTGAATTATACTTTAATAAAGCTGTTATTTTTAAAAAGCAATAATACATTTTTTATATTGGAA